AAAAGACATAAATTGCCATGTAAATCTAGCAAATCCAACAAAAGGTTTATAAAAAATAAAAGCATAAATTACAACTGTCATATATGTCTAGATTCAGCAAAGTTGATAGAAAAAAAAAAAAAAAAGTCAATTTACAATTCTTGTCGGCGAATGTACCATTCCCCTTTCTATTATAAAAGACAAATGAAATTTGACGTTTTATGTACAAATATTGATATATCGTAATTCGCACGAGCTTTTTGAACAATCGCTAAAATGCCTAAAAAATGAAAATAAGGGGAAAAGGAGGTAAATGGCATCCTTTTTGTCAGAATTTTGCAAAAATCGATTATAGGAAAGATTAGAATGTTAATTACGCTAAATTATGCTGAGTAGCAAACTTTTTTTCCTTCTATAAAAGATTACCCATAAAAACTTTTTATTAAGCAAGTGTTATGCAATATGGCCAAAAAAAAAAAAGTGTTATGCAGACGAAAAAAAATATTCTAAACATAAAATGGATTTTGTCAAACGGCCTCCGAACAACAACCTTGATACTAAACGTTTAATATTGTCTATTTACTTTTTTATTTTGAACAATGTGAGTACATTTTTTGATTTAATATAATTTATAATATATTTATTAAAAATTTGTTATTTTTAAATTTAAATTTATCCATTTATGCAAATTGCACGTGCTTAACGACCCGTTCTTCTTGTTTTCTTTTTCGGTTTTCTATTTTCTATTTTTGTTGAATATAGAAAAACAATTTAAATGTGACAATATTTTAGGTACCTCATGGGGGCCTGCAAACTGCAAATTCCCATTAGATTAAAGGTTAAATCCTCAATTTGGGTCCTAAACTATTGTATGGATCTTTAATTTGGTCTCTAAACTAAAAAAATCTCTGATTTGATCCCTAAACTATTGTATGAACCCCTGATTTGATCCATACTATTTATCAATTTACCCCCAATTGGTCCTTCCATACAAAAATTAATTGACGTGTTTTGTTATTAACATAACACGTGACTGTTAAGTTATTATTTTTCGCCATTAAGTTACTATTTTTTACCGTTAAAGTTACTATTTTTTACCGTTAAGTAACAGATACGTCAACTATTTTTTTTGTACAGAATGACCAACTTGAAGCAAATTGGTAAACAGTAAGGACCAAATTAGGGTCCGTACAATAATTTAGGGATCAAATCAGGGATATTTTTAGCTCAAGGACCAAATTCGAGATATGTACAATAGTTCAGGAACCAAATTGAAGGTTCAACCTAGATTAAATCAATGGTGAGAGAGACATGCATTGGTTTCTTGTTGTGGTGTGGCAAACATAAAATTTGTCAACGTGACATGTTAGGTTGTAACATATATAAATGGCACGAGACTTGTTTGATCAATTGCTAGAATGCCTAAAAAAGAAAAGAAAGGCCCCATCTGTCCAATTCCATATTCCCCCCTCCCCCCCTTTTTTTAATCGGCACCCATCATATTCCCTTTTGTTCATAAAGAAAAAGAGAAAGGAATGGAAAAAGTAATTAAATGACATCATAACCTTTGCAATAACAATGGTGTAAAAACACGAATCAGCTCAATTAGCCGAACTCTTCATTGCGAAGTGGATTGACATGAAAATTCAAGAGTGGACTTGAATTGAGGTAAATACATATTTTGATGTTTAAGTTAACAATATTTTGTTTGATGGCTAAAAAGAATAAGGAAAAGGGTAGAGGTTCAAAAGTTACCTTTAGGTTGGTCCTCATGGGATATTTAAAGGCTTGGCGATGAGGTCTACTGGTATGCTTGGAGCAATTTACAAAATAAGACTTGGTACAATTAGAGTAATTTGTGGGGAAATGCATCTAGTGTGATGCACGCACACAAGTATGCCATACATTTGCGGCTGGTGGCCAAAGCGCTGAGCTTGGCCTAACTTGTAATGGACCATGTCTTGCAGTTCGGATTATTAGCAAGTTTACAGGACTATTCGGATATATCCTCACAAATGGGAAGAGTAGTGATTCTTGTGAACATATTTTAGGATGAATCTGTGACAAAATTATTTCAATAGTTGCAGATGTGATTTCATAAAGAGTCCGCACCATGATTAATGACTACTATATAAATAAATTTTAAATTTTAGTCTTAAATATTGATAAGGATGGCAACGGATCCCCACGGAGGTGGAACCCCCTCCCCATCCCCATCCCCATCCCCGTCAATGGCGGGTACGAGAATCTCTGCGGGGAATTTTGACAGAGGGTCAAAAATTGCCTCCGTCCCCATCTCCGCGGGGAATAATAGGTTCCCGTGGGTATTCGGAGTTCCCGCCAAATAAAACTATCACCTATTTCAGTGCTTGTTAATCAAAATTCCAAAAGAAAATAGCAATTTTACAAAAACCTAGATAGCAAACAAAGATGATCAAGATCACTATTTTAAAACAAGATAAACAAGTAGTAAATATACACAATAACACAGCCAATATATACATGTCATTGTCAAGCAAGTCCAGCAAGTAAGCCAACAACAAGTTCATATTTCATAAAGAAAAAAGACATAAATTGCCATGTA